TTTAGCTAAATTTACTGATCCCAGGATGAGTTTGGATGTGTTTCAGTAAAACTAGGTGTAAGTTTGAGGTTTTTCCTCCTTCACTATCTGGAGAACAGTAACTGTTTTCCTTTACTAAATCGAATAAGGTCTGTCCAATGGTTTTATTTTTGTACACGACATTTCTGAAATTAAGATGCTTTTTGCACTTTTTAACTGAAACTTGATTTTCCCTAAATTTTTGGAATATTTTTATGCATCCAAGCAAATATTATGATAAATCTCTATCTCTAGTTCCACCAGAGATAAAAGTATCACAAATTTTGTCATTTGAAAATGTTGAATCTGTAGCTTTTCATGTAAAATCTCCAAAAACGCAGCAGAAACTCCCAAGAGGCTCCAACATCAAAGACGTTATGATGATGACATGAAATATTAAAACATCTCCTGTGTTTACATCCGCCACTACAACGACGTTTAATGATTTATCTCATTCACGTGAGATTTTAATCGAATCTCTTATTTAATAGAAACACTGCAATTGTAAAATTGTGCTTTTTCATACATTTATGTTAGAAATGCGACTAAAAATCCAAAGAGTTGTTTTATAATGGAACGGAGAATATTAGCAGTCCGTATGAGACTTTCAACCCAAACCAAGCAAAGCGTAACCAACTGTGAAGCATGGGAGTGGTGGAATCATGCTGTGGGAGATGAAAACACAATATTCGTTCTTAACTCTGTTGCAGTCGGTTGAATCTGTTGGCAGTGAAGCCCTTCATTGTCAATAATGGCGGCAAACAAGAATCAGTAGCACTTAGTGAAGGATAAGTTATCTGTAAACATTCAGATTAAGAGTCGCTTTTGTTCAGTATGATCAGATGAGTGAAGAAACAGCAAACTGACACCTCAGTGTAACTCTTTCCTTCTAATCACTCATCTGTGAACCCTCTGTAACCCCCCGCTGTGACCTTTGCCCCCCCACAGCCATCTGCCTGCTGACAGGTGAGGCGCCCCAACAGAAACAAACTGTGACGACAGCGAAGTGGCTGCTGCCACTGTTTACACCAGGAGTGTAAGGTAAAGAGTGTGTGTGTTCGCGAGCTTTTCGCGTTGACCTCCCACAGGGATTCCCACACCAAACACACCTGAAAAAATACAAAAAGGTAGAAAAACAATCAACCAGAGTCTGTTAAAACACCAACACAAACACTCCCAAACAGAGATTCAGCTGATTCTGATGCCTTGGAGTCGACACCAGCTCATAAACACACACGCATCCACACACACACATCCAAATCCACACACACACGGGACGTTAAGTCAGGCTGTGAAAAGAAGGACTTTTGTTTCCTAAGTGCTGATCCTTCCTTCACCTCTTTTTGTCATTTACAAAACACACAAAAGCAATGAAACAAACGTCACGATGCTAATCGATGCTCAGCGAATCTAATTTCAACGTGAACAGTTGTTGGAAGCACAAGTAAAGATTTATTGGTAACACTTTATTTGAAGGGGTTTGCATAAGACTGACATGACACTGTCATAAACATGACATAACATCTGTCCTGAACATAATGAATGTTTTTATGAATATTTATGACTGACGTCATGAAGTGTCATTCGGTAAATAATGACACTTTTAATGCAAAGTTGCACTGAAAGTCCATTAAAAATGCCAACTTTGCATTAAATTATCATAATTTACAAAATCATGCAAAGTTGGCACTTTGGAGGCACTAATCATTTTTGATTATCCACCTAAAGCAACAGTCAGTTACAATAATTAAGACTCATTTGAATATAGATGAAAAAAATACAAATTGAATTGGCAGATTTTTTTTACTTAAAGCAGGAAAAAACCTGGGAAAATGTTCCAGTTCCAACGGAACTAGAACTTTTTATCAACATTAAGGAATTATTAACTTACAACAAGCTTGTATATTTTGCTGAAAAGTTAGTTTAGAGTTAGTTTTGTCTCATTTGAGGTGTTCTGTGATATTTGCACTAGAAAGTAGACCAGAATACTTGGTGAGATTTTGTGTTTTGCAGTGCAGTCATCAACCGACCAGCCGACAAAGCACAGCAATGCGCAGTAAACGGTGATTATTCCTGAATTTTTCTTTAATTTAATCAGAAATGTTCTGGTGTTTTGTCCAAGGACTGTAAAAGTAACAAGTAATGGTTGTGCCTTTTGAATCCGTCCTTTGAGCTTTGACAGATTTGAAGGTGACCACAAGAATCTAACTTTGACAAGAACAGATGTAGAAATGTTTCTGGCATTCTGTGTTTGACTTTTTATGATTGGTAATTTTCTACTGTAGGGTTGAACACGCAGCACTGAGTCATTACTGATCATAAAAATGATGAAAGTCCAACTTTTTATTTCTCAGACCTATTTTCATTCCAAAACTACAGTACTCTCAGTCCTGCGTATTTTTTAGGGAAGCCAATGTTTCTTCTTTGGTGGTTCGTCGTAACTGGGAAAAGATTTCATTCCTCCAAGGATAAGAAATACAAGCTTACACTGCAAAAAACATAAAATCCCACCAAATACGGTTGCTCTACTTTCACGTGGAAACATCTTAATAAACTTCAAATATAACAAAACTAACTTTTTAGTAAGATAGATATAGGACTTTGTTTTAAGTGAATAATGCTTGAATTTTGATGGAGAGTTCTCGTTCCACTGGCAGATAATTTCACTTATAAAATTGGAAAAATGTCTTATAAGTGAAACAATCTGCCATTGGAACTAGTACATTTTAAAAATCAATATTAAGGAATTATTCACTTAAAATCTAATATCTTTCTGAAAAACTACTGGTTTGTCGTATTTTAAGTGTATTAAGACAACTGCACAAGATACAAGACCAAAACACTTGGTAAGATTTTGTGTTGCACTACAAAAACACAAAATTTTACCAAATATTTTCACCTAGTTTCTAGCGCCATCATCCTAGTTCAAACTAACTTATTAGTAACTCTTCTTCAAGATATATATACTTATTTAAAGTCAACAATCCCTTACTATTGATGAAAAAATGCTAATTTCATTGGCAGATTATTATAAGTGAAATAATCTGCCAATGAAATTAGTACTTTTTCATCAGTAGAAAGGACTCGTTGACTTTAAGTAAGTTCCTGCATCTTGTTGGAAAGTTCCTTGTAAGTTAGTTTTCTATCATTTCAGGTGCATTAAGACATTAGCACAAGATGAAAGTACTTGGTAAGACTTTGTGTTTTTGCAGTGTAACCACTTTTTCTAATATAAATATCACTACATCCCAAAACAAACTGCTTTGCTGCAGTTTCTGCCTTCATATTGGAAGTTGCAAACATCAGTTATATTTTCTGCAGGAATAAGTTAAACTCTCCATGACTGCAGATTAGCTTCATGAGCATTGAGAGATTATCACTTTAGAGATTAAAATGAACGATGAGATCAAGGCTAACGCTTCCAAATGGATGTTTTTATTTGTTGTACCTGCTCTGGATTCTCCACTGTGTATCTGTTGTGTATAGAAGCGTTATGTTTTATTGAACAGTGCTGTTGCAGTAAACGCAGCAGAGGTCACGATCTGTGGCTCGGAGCGGAGCGAGTTTCTGACCCGCTCGCTCAGATGCACACCGTCCATGCATGGCAACAACATGAACAACCCAAACGAAGCAGAATTCATATTCAGGACTTATCGATCTGTTGCTTCTTCCTGTGCTACAAACTCAGATTTTATTGAAATGTGAAGGGATGAACCCTGACGGATCCGTCACTCTGCATACACTGGACCCACACAGTAACGCCTCGCAGATGGTTTACCCTATGAAATCTCAATTCCTCACTAAGATCCTGGAAAAAATGATCCAGAAATAAGTTTGGGGTGCATTTTTGGATTTTTTAAAACTGCATTAACTATTAAAGAAGTTAGACTTTTGTTGAAAATCTAACATATATTCTATATAAGTCAAAGTTTATATAGAATATTTACAAAAACATGAGCTGACCAAAGTACTTTACAACAATCACAACATCAAAATACAATAAAATTATGTTTGTTAAAGTAATAAAACAATTTATACCAAAAAGACAGACTTATTTCAGCTACAGTGATTTCCCAAAGACTCAAATCATTGAAATGTTAATATCCACCTACTTTTATTTATTTTATTATTTATTAAAAATGTTGCACATATGCCTTAAAAATGCCAGTCTCCTATTTTTGGGGGTTCATGTTTTTATTTTATTTTTAATTGATGATCTTGAAACAAATTTTTATGCAATAATCATCAACAAAAGCAGGATATTCTAAATCTAAAAGATTTGCTTCATTTAGCCAAGTTAGAAATAAAAGGTGCGTCCAAGTCTTTGTTTGAGTTCCTCCTTCCTATTTGCAGAAACTAAAATAAAAGCAGAAAAAATGGAAATAAAAAGACAAATGCTTTGAGTTCCATCTTGTATTTAGGATGACTTTAATTTGAGTGTTGTCCTAAAACCACAAAACTCTCACAACGCCACATCGATCTACATCACATCATATTTATGTATTAGAAAGGCCTAGTCAAAGTCTAAATGTATGAGAGTTGGTGTTAAATTTCAGACTTTTTCCGTCACTCCACTCTAACTGGCTTAAATAAAAATGATTGTAATGAGACAAAACGTGGAATATTTAAAAGCAGTTTGGATATTTTTTGAAATCGCTGCACCAGACGTTACATTTTAATTTCTGAGATGTAGCACTTCTCTCCTGGCTTCATCTCGTCGTTTCACCACATCAGTAAAACAGTAAACCTGCCCATCTGTCATGCTAACCTGAATTATAGATGAATTTTGGGAATTCTGTCCTGATCAGTATGCCAAACACAATCACAGCCATCACTGCTGAAACAATAAAAACCGCCTGATTCCTCCTCTGGAGGACATTCCTCTCACACAGTGAAACATCCTGCAGCTCTAAAAAACACCAACCATGAAGCCTGTTCGCTCCCCGCTGCAGGTTTCACGAGATTCTTCCAATAAATTAAGATTTTCATCGTTTCTTGGAGCTTGGTCAAGGATGCTGGGAGTTTTTTTGCTCTTCAGATGTACTGCACTCGTTTTCTGTTCAGACACATCGGAAAAAGTCTCTTTGAAGCCTCTAACCAGGGGCTGTCCTGGCTGATGACGGGTTTGGGCTCCTGACTGCTGGATTTATTTATTTGTGACTCCTTAGAGAGCGGCGTGGAGAGGAAGGGTGGAATAAGGGGGACTGGATGGATATCATCGTCTTACAAGAACACAAAACGCACTGTTAGCGTGTTCTGGAGAGAAACCATTGTGCAAACAAGTGATGCACTGCAAAAACACCAAATCTTACCAAATATTTGTTCACTTGAAACAATCTGTCAGTGCAACCTGTTGATTTTTATTCATATTCAATAATTATTCATTTAAACTCCTGTGTTTTACTGAAAAGTTCCTCTTAAGTTAGTTTTGTTTTATTTTAAATGTATTAAGATGTTTTCACCAGAGACTAAACCTTCATTCCACACTGCAAAAACACAAAATCTTACAAAGTATTTCTGGTTTAGTTTCTGGTGGAGACATTTTAGTTTACTTGAAATAAGACAAATTGAACTAAGAATCAACTTTTCAGCAAATATATGAGCTTGCTTTAAGTAACTAATTTCTTAAAATTGATTTAAAAAAGAACTAGTTCCATTTGCAGATTATTTAACTTAAAATAAGATGTTTTTCTGATGTTATAAATTCAATAATCTGCCAGTGGAACTGGAGCTTTTTAATCAATATTAAGGAATTATTAACTTGAAATAAGCTCACATATCCTGCTTAAAATCTTAAGTAAGATGTTTCCCCTAGAAAATAGACCAAACTTACTTGGTAACATTTTGTGTTTTTGCAGTGTGCATTTATATACTTTTTAAAATAAATAATTCCTATATAAGTTAAGGTTCCCCCCTTTATGTAACAACATCCAGCCAGGATTTTGCATCATCAGCACTTCTTTCTAAATTGTGTTAATAATTTTTCTACTTTAATGCTGCAAGTTGTTTTACATAAATGTTGGATCTGCAAGTAAAATTGAACTCATTTATCTTAGTACACATACAAACATTTCTCCAAATTTGTTAACATTTAAGACTCTGTACAGTTGTGAGCTAAATATTTTAGTTTAATGTGTCAACGTGCTGTTACATAGTAACAAAATTAAAAATTCACAAGTATTGAATAGCTTAAGTTTGCAATAAAAAGGAAAATGAAAGAACTGCTATTCGCCCTACGGAGCAGTGAATTAGGGAACTGCGCTGACCTTTGACCTTCTGGTGTCTAAAGGCCAGCAGCAAACATCAGGTTTCTCTGGGGAGTTAATTAGGAGTCAGATGTTACCATTACTTATGACTGAGCAGAGCAGCTCCTCTTCTGAAAACATAAATTTATTTTATTAAAAACATGACATTTCTAAAGTGCTCTCTAAACGAACACACCTGCATTTTCAAACGTTTAACGTAGAAATGCAAAGCAGTCGTTTGATTTTCTCAGGAATTCTTCCTCTTGGTCTTCAGGCTCTTCCCATCATTCCCAGTGGACCCACTGGTGAAACGTCCCAGCAGCAGAAGTAAAGACACTTACAGCCTCGTTACAAAAGCTGTTTGGTAAGTTTGGAAAATTTCACATTTTGGACGACTTCATGAGGCTCAGCTGTTAAAACGCAGTGAGGAAGGTGGTGGACGTGGATTCTCACTTCATCCCTCCACTCAGAAACCAGTAGAACGCCTCACCAATTAAACCACAGACCAGTGGATGGAGTTACTGGGACGACGTCCAGCTGCTGTTAAACAGTTTCACTCAGAGATCCTGTTTAATTCTGAAAAAGACAAAAATACATTTTACTTCAGGGTTTCTGATCCTCACCAGCCAAATAGATGCTCAACTATAACAGAACAACCAGAAATACAGGAATAGGTCAGTTCAAACACTTTCACATTCTTATAATGTTTTCATAAATGTTGCCATCTTTGTCCCTCTAAACACTAAAGGGACAATATAATTGTACATATATTTTTTTCTCTTTATTTCTATACATTAAGTTGATGAATATCCAGAAAAATTACCCAATTTGTGGTGCATTCTCATTAATTTGCACATCATTAAAAAAAAAAAAAAAATATTCAACACTCTTTTTTATAATAAAATAAAATGATGAAAATAAAGTCAATATTATGAGAATAAATTTGTAATATTATGACTTTATTCTTGAAATATTACAACTTTATTTTTGTATTATTTCGTCAATCTTCTTGTACAACTTTATCCTCATAATTGTTTTATTTTCTTAAAATGGTTCTGTTTATTTTAGTTCCTGTTTTCCTGTGGAGCAGCTGAGACAGACTCCAGTCTGACTCTAATTAAACCAGAATCAATCAAGCAATCAAATTTACTAGCATAAAGCAGAATTCATTATAAAATCAGATCAAATTGTTATACAGAATTACAAACAACAAACTCACAAAGACAAAAAAAAAAAAAACTTTCCCCCAACAGGGAAAAACACAGTAATGCATGGAAAGTGTAAGTATTAAAAAGATGATGCAGATATGCAGATAAAAAGAAGATACAACTCTAAGCAACCTCTGGGTGACAGTTCTGTATTTAAATCACAAAAACACTTTTACTTACATTGAATTTCAAGCAGATTATAGAAAATAACTCATGAAAGTGGATGGAAAATGTGGCAGTGGTGGGTCAACCAATTGGTACTAAACTCCCTGTGAAGGCCCGCTCCGGTCCAAATCAGAGGTGAAATGACCAAACCTGCTAAAGCACAAAGTGACTGAGTGTCCAAACCAGACGCCCTCCTCTTCCACCTGTCCTCAAATCTGACTGGATTTTAACAGCTTTTACTCTGATGACACCAGAACCCGATAGCCTCTGAGAGCAGCCCCCTCTCCCACAGCATCCCCTTACAGGTTGCCTCAGGGTCCCAAACCTAAGCCCGGTCCAGATCCACAGCACACTGCTGGACCAGAGAACCAACCCCCCGACCCGCTCAGCGGTCCACAGACCTGGTCCTCCTTAATCCAAGTTGATCTCTTGACCAGAACCTGAGAATAAAGTTTCCCATGGAGGCCGAAGGTCCCTTTCTGCCCCCTTTCTTTCTACCCCGGTGTCGTTCCCGTCATTTAACGTGGAAGAGACATCTGAGCCACGAGCGTCTTCAGTCCGCGTTAATCAAGCTCTAGTTTTGTTTCTCTAAAAGGTCCAGTTGGTTTTGGGAGGAACACGAAATGGACCAAAAAAACAAACTCTGGTCCGCCTACGAACCCAGCCTCGGTTCGGTTGAAGTGATCTATGGCGCGGTTCAAATGCATATGCGGACGGCAAGTGGACCAGAGACTGCTGTAATACACAGTTACCAAGTCCAGGAACTTTGTAACTGTGAGCCATCTTGGCAGGCAGTTGCTATGACAACAAGCCACAAGCTTAGATGTTTCTATCTAACTTATAAAAAGTATAAGTACAGTACAACTATTACTCAATCACAGTTTTGGAGTATCTTGGTGCTCTGGTGACCTCGACTCAAACCCTCAGACTTTACTGCTTTCTGTGATGACGTTCAGTCCAGCTTTGCCCCTAGTCTGGGTCTGCAGTTCTCCATACATGAATCCTTTAATAATGAAAGACATCTGGTTTTATTTCTTCAATAAGCAAGATACAAATTGATCCATAAAGATCCACGCACAGAGCAGCCAGACCCATCAATCCAACTTGTTGTTCCCAGTTTGACTATTTTCTTTCTCTCAGCTCCAGATTGCACACGGTTCAGTTCAGCAGTTTGTTGGTTTCATTGTAGAAAACAAATGTCTCCTCAGGAAATGTAACACTATAAAATGTAACGATCCGCAGTTCATACGCTTCTTGATTCGTTTTATTACTTTAGATATCTCTGATTTCATAAACACAGACATAAAAGGCAGTTTTGAGCAAAAAGTGGCTCAGAGAACAAATGAGGCCGATTGGCTCAATTATAGAAAATAAACACAAGAATAAAGAAAGGAAAGATAAGTAGGAAGCTATGAGGAATTATAATAAAGAACAAAATGTGACAGTAAGTCAAAATGCTGTTCAATCATGTATTAAAACAGAATAGTCATTTATCAAGAGGGAAAACCCACAGCAGCACAGTAACAATATGTACCAAACTGAATAATTAAATATCTAAAACAATATAATTGTATATCAGTGATTTATAAAATCGAATAGAAACCTCTATATGTTTTGCTATTACAGAAGGAAGTTTATTTTATGTAACTTTTATTAAAAATGTTTTTTTTTTTTTACAAATTAGTTTGAACTGTCACCGTGTCTCGACAGATAATCTGTGAAAAGATTGTTTTGTTTTTTTAAGCGCAGTCTGAAGCCCTTAAAAAACAACCAATCAGAGCCAGGAGGCGGGGCTTATCACTGTCAATCAAGCTCATGTTCAAGCTGCTAATTTATGTTAACAGAGTAACATTTATTTTATTCTGTTTCATTTTATTTTATGATTTTTTTTATAACAGAAAAACATTTTACCGTTACAGGAAAACCGTTTATCTGCCGTCATCAGTGGCTATGCTAACTAGCTTAGCATTCAGAACAGTGTGATTGATAGCGCTAAGACCCGCCTCCTGGCTCTGACTGGTCGTCTCTAGTTAGCACTGGGAGAAGACAGAGCAACCAGATCTTTTCTCATACTGTTATGACACAGTGGCAGTTTCAACAAATATGTAAAACATATATAAAACTTAAATACCTTTAACAGCCATCCTGTTTATGGCTAAACTTTTAAAGAAGCTAAATTTATATAAACATCAAAAACATAATATTTATTCCTGCATCATTATTGACTGACATCTAATCCTTAACAACCAAAACATGGCAGCCTTTGCTCTACTGAGTTATTGTAGAGAAGCCAGGCTGCAGAACGGGAGTATTTTTGTTTAGCAGGGCAGGGCAGTTCATGCTCTCAGAGGCAGACAGACAGGCCGGGCCAGTATATACTTACCCAAACGGAGGGGAGAGGGAGAGAGGGTTTGGTTACAACAACACACTGAGCTGCAGGAAAAGGGGCATCACACGTCCAGGACGAGCCTGCAAGGCTGGGAGGAACGTCTGCTCTAAGGATTCATTAGTGCTAAGTGTGTCTCTTTCTAAAAGGAGCCCAAAGTTTTGCTGTTCTTTTGTATTCATCTTGACATTTGGTTAAAAAAAGAACATTTTATGAGCTTTTAGTTTCCTCACAATGCGGAAAATTGACACTGCAGCATTTAAAAGAGGTTTTTCAAAGCAGTCAGCAGAAAGAAATAATGAAATAAAGGCCTAATGGAAAACTGCTGGTTCATTTATTTACAGTGTGACACCAGATTTATTTCCTATGCAGAGCCAATTTGTAGCGCTGTTTACATTTATTGAAGGTTTTCAGTGTACAGGTGTAACCTTTACTGTCACTGATGGGGCTGAGCCTCTGGGCCAAACGTCAGCACGAAGCAGGATAAAAAAATACCCCCTAACAGCAGCTTTATATCGTTACTTAACAATGAACTAAACATGCAAAACATGTAAAGTTGTCAGATTTCTTGTTTGAAATCAATGTGTAAATTATTATAGATCCAAATCTTATAAAGGGTTTTTGTGAGTTTGCCTTATTAAAATACATTTTGCAAATTTTCTAGGAATGAATTAGAAAAAAAATTAACAAAATTTTGTAAATTCTGATTTCGGTCAGATTTATTAATTTAGTTGAGTTTAATAAATTAACTAAAAGTAAGCATTTGAGTAAAAGTCACTGGTTTGATGCAAGAGAATGGAAAGGTGTGTTTATTTCAAGATGAATCAATAGTGTTGTTACTAAAAAAAACAAAAGAAAACAGAAATAAGAAACCCAGTTAAAATCACATGTGAATAACATCATTCTTTATACTTTATTGATCCCAAAGGAAAATTAAATGTTGTAACTCATATTAATTCAGACTCTTCTAAGAGTTGTTGCGATAAGTTTTTGAAAGTCATGGCGTCTACTTCCTGTCGTCTTCCTCTTCGTGGTTTCCAACAGTAGTAACATCCGGTTGATCATGTGACTTGTGGGTAACACTTTATTTGAAGGGGGTTGAATAAGACTGACATGACACTGTCATAAACACCTGTCATGAACATGAATAAGCCTTCAAATAAAGTGTTACCGACTTGTGTAACGCGGGAAAAGTGTCCCCACTGCAGTTCTGCAAAACAAACTAATTTCAATACGACCAAAGCGAGTTTTTTAAAACAAATTTATTTTCAAAATGTGAAGTTGAGCAATAGAAATTCAGCTAGTGAAATAAAAAATAAAATCTGTACTTTGCTCTTTTCCTTCAGTATCTGCTTCTCTGCTGTTATAACGAATCAACAAACAGGCGTTCCGATTGGATGGAGTTCACTGAAAAGCGAATGAAAAGCAGCAGCAGCTTTAGGTTTCAGATAAAGGACCCGCCGCTGCCGTACCGTACACAAACAATGTTCTGAAGATAAACGAACATTTGGCCTCCGTGACCCCGAATGTCAGAAATACAATAAGAGTATTCTTCCTGCAACGGAGTGAGCATACTCACACATGCTCATGTGAAATCTCAGGCGT